CTCTCTTCTAAGTATTTGGCTAAATTGACCCTCCTTCTCTGCTTGAACTAGTGCTCACCTTTTCTTAGTACTCAAAGACTAGAGTCATCTCTCTTTTCTTCAGATGTAAAAACCCTTGATCCTACATTGTCCTCCAGATGCACTCTCTTTTATCCTCTCTTCTTATGAGCTAAATCTCTTGGAAGTTAGAGTTTTATCCTCCTCCAGTTCTTCTCTTCTCTTTCTTAAATTTATTTCAGACATCCTTTAGTACATACTTGCCATACTCCAAGTCTGCTCTTAGAAAGATCTGCAGTACACCACACCAGTATATCACAGGGCCAGTTCTTGGTATTCAGTCTCAGCAACACTTGGCACATCTGAGCAATGATTCATTTGTGGGGATACACCAGCACATTGGCTATTATACTATAATGGCTGCTATTTCATACATTCTTGTTATTTCTTCTTGTTTCTTCCATATATATGCTTCAAAATAGTTTGTTCCCAGTCCTGAAACTCCTTGAGTTTCCTTTCTACAATCATCTCCTCTATTATGCCGTCTGTTTGATATGATAGCTAGCAAAATATATACGTCATTTCTGAACTCCCAACCCAGTTCAAAGCCAGTCAAAAGTAAATCCAAATTTTCATTCATTGTTCAATAGATTTATGCCAAACCTATTCAGTATTTTCTTTATCTCAAAAAATGATAACAATGTTCAGATTAAAAATTAGAGTTATTCTTTATTTGATCCATCTGCAAAATTCCACATCTTTACTTAAAATATGCTTACCATCAGTCACTATCTTCATTCCCATATCACTGTCTTGGTTTCACCCCCTGGGGTCTCAGCTGGTTGTTAGAGTGGTGCCCTCCTGGCGTGGTTGCTTTACTTCCAATCTGAACTTGATTATGACTATACTGTCTTAGTAAAACAGGAAGGTGCCTCATTTCACATGTCACATTGCATTGCTCCTCCAGTTAAGAGCCATCCATGTTGCCACCGGGGTAAAACCACAGACTACCCAGGACATGACCCTCTGCTCCTCTCTGGAATTCCTATCAGTTTCCTGCCTCACCTTTGAGAATTGCTTTTTTCTCTTCATTAAAGGCTTTTTACATGGTTTGACTTCCAGGTCTTTATAATTTCTATTTTTTTTCTACATAGAACCCTTTTCCTCCAACTATACACACTTATCTCTTTTCAGTTCACTACTGTAATGCCAACTAATCAGGAAGACAATGGCTATGTTTCACAAAATAACATACTCACCACCCTTACCTTCCTACCATGCCCTATTTTGATTACTGTTTCTTATTTTTCTCTGCAATACTCATTATCTGACATCTTACTTATTTTCTTGTCTATTTTGCTGCCTAGATCAAATTCTTATTGAGGATCATTTTTTTTAAAAAAATGTTCACTGCTGTTTTTTTTTTTTCAGAACACTGGAATATAACAAATAGTATGTACTGAGCTAATGTATTCAAGAGCATTTAGAAATGAAAAAAAAAATCCCATTCATCAAGGAAATATCTGACTAGGCCTTTATAAGTCATTAATAGTTACATGTAATATGTGTCCAGTTACACCAAACACACACACACACAAACACACACAGGCACACATACACACAAACACACACAGGGACACACACACACACACACACACACACACACACACACACACACACATGCAGAGAGAGAGAGAGAGAGAGAGAGAGAGAGAGAGAGAGAGAGAGAGAGAGAGATTAAAGTAATAGAATTAGTTGAGATCAGAATAGTTAGTCTCTAGTCTTAACAACTGTCATTAACCAACTCTGATTCTAAATATATATATTTTTGTCTTAATTTTCTCATTTGTCAAGTGATATTATTTGACTAGACTAGCAATTCTGAGGCTGGGATCTACTGATAACACACCAACCTATGGGCTTCAGAGGATATGTGCATGTTATTTTTTGCAGGTAAAAGTTTGAGGCCATATGGAAATGTATTTATTTATTTTATTCTGAAATTTAGAAAAGATCTGTGAAATGGAAAATATCTTTGAAGGAGTTTTTGGTTATGGGGGCTGGTGCAAGAGATCAAACCCATGGCCTTGTGAGAGCTGAGTAAGTACTTGCCCACTGAGTTATAACCTATGTTCAAGTTTCTTTAAATCCTAACTTCATATTGTCTGAATTTCAAACTCAGTGATTGAAGACACACCAGTGCTGCTGTGCCCCGTTGGAAGGCAGTCCCATTTTTGCCACATTCTGAACAAGCCACTCCTTTTCCTGTCAGGTTGAAATTTACTATGTGTAAAATGGATATGATGATTCAAAATACACCTAAGATTTCTGCATTCAAGTTAACTGAGCCAGGTTGAAACAAAACAAGCAAACAACAACAAAATAAATCCCAACAGTGAGCTCCTTGAGTAGTCAAAAAGGGGAATGGGGGGTGGGGTTCCTGTAGCCAACTCAGGAACTGGTTGATCTTTTCAAATGTGGAAGATGCCCTTGTGGTGACTGAGGGTATAGATTTTTATGGTTTCCAGAATGAAAGTAGACTCTAAATCCTTAGATGTTTAACTCATATATTATGGAATATTAGTTAAGGATGTGTTACATTCTTTTACATTGTGCAATATTTGTTTAATGATACAAAGATGTGTTGCATTCTTTTATGTTGCATTTGTTACTCTGTGAAGCTGTGTTACTTTGCCTGTCTGAAACACCTGATTGATCTAATAAAGAGCTGAATGGCCAATAACTAGACAGGAGTGATAAATGGGTAGGGCTAGCATGCAGAAAGACTAAATAGAAGAGAAGAAAGAAGAGAGAGGAAGAAAAGATATACAGAAATGAAGAAGGGTAAAAGGTAGACAGGATAATTAGTTAAGAAAAGCTGGATAGAAATAAACCAAGCTAAGGCTGGGCATTCATAAGAAAGAATAAGTCTCCATGTATTTATTTGGGAGCTGGGTGGCAGGTCCCCAAAGAGCAAAGAATAAAAAAAAAATCTCAACTATACTCATAGATTTTGAAATAAATTCTAAGAAATGTTTCTGTAGTATTAGATAGGGTTTAGAAGGCTTCAATGAATGTGTGCACTATAATGTTCTTTTGTTATTCTCCATTTTCTTTAGAATCTAGACATTTTGCTTTTGAGGAAATAAAATTGTCACATGCATAATTTTGATTTGTTCTGTTCTTCTCTAAGCTCTTTCCCCCTTCTCCCTGGCCATAGCCTATTGTATAGTTCTTTGTAAGTGTGAGCTGTTTGTCCTGGAAAAGAAATCCATAACTGGATTCTAGGTTTACACATCCACTAAAAGAGATTATTCCATAAGCCTTGCCTCCCCAAACACAATATGGGCCAGAGGACATCAGTGGGGCAAGTTGTTCCCAGAACTTTCATGCCAGCCTGCCTGTCGAACACTTAAAGCAAAATAAGACACAGCCCCTGCTCCACGGGTTCAGAACTACCACCAAGCAAGCAGCTGGATGCCTTTCACTTAGTGATTTCCATTGGATCTACTGGCAGGTGTTTTGCCTCCCTCCCTGAAAGGGGGTGTGTGGGTATTAAGATGACACGGAGAGTGTCTTTGGCAAGTTGTCTTCATTACTCTCATCAGGCAATAAGACTGAATGGAGCATTTTTTTCCTGAGCCTGGCCCAAACTGTGCTGTGCTTGGAGGGCCTATTAGGCTGCAGGTCACAGCAGCTGGAGCCCAGGCGCCTGGAGCCGGTCACGCGTCTGTGCTGTCCGGTCCAGGATGCACAATGGAGTCATTGACTATTTATTTTCTTCATACAACAAGGCTGCTGTTGCCTTAATTACAGGAATCTTCTACCCATCCCCTGGATCTTTAAACCACAAATGGACTCTCCATGACACTAACTCATCCCTCTCTGTCTAACTTAAGCCTTAGTCTCCTAGAGGCAGCTAAGCACAGTAGGGTGTGTGTGTGTGTGTGTGTGTGTGTGTGTGTGTGTGTGTGTGTGTGTGTGTGTGTGTGCGCGCGCGCGTGTATGTGTGTGGGGGCTAGAGAGCCTGGGATGTTGAACAAAGTAGGAAGTAGAGACTTAGGATTTTGGTAGGACTGAGTCATCTGCTAGCCCACGGTGTGAGGGGTGACAATAAGGACACAGGTCAGGAAAAGGTTCTACTCAGTTTGATTTTCAGGAGTTGCAATGACTGCAGGTCAAAAAACACAGCAAAAGGACAAATGCTCCTCTGCAGCCTGTTGGACTGCTCTAGGTTGAACCTGAGCTGCTCTGCTTCCAGACCTTCAGAATTAGACTGGGGTGCCACAGGGACTACAGCTGCCTCCAGGCTCCCTCCGCAGAGCCTAGGAATTCCACCTGGCCTCCTTCCTAGAACAGTCCCTTTGAAATCTGTCTCCTGGGCCCGTGTGCAGAGCCTGTTCAAGCTTGGCCTCGCTTAAACCTCCTGGAGACTAGTCGCTCACCAATGTACTCTGAGGGGACTACTAAGTCTCCACTCTAGTTAATATTGTAAGGCTGAGGATAAAGTAGCAACGGTATTGAATAGATGTTGACTTTTCTGACCCAGAGGAGAGCAAATTCGGGATTGTTTGCAGAAGCTAATCGCTCCCCGAGAGAAGCAGCAGGAGACTGGTGTGCTCCTTGCTTCCTGCCCCCACCCCTGACTCCTGGAAGCAAGCATAGGAAAGACCCCAGCACTCAGGCATCCCTTCCCACTGCCCTTTAAAAACCTCTCTCAATATCTTGTATGTAAATACTTATATATGCTCATTTCCACAATAGTGGAGAAGAGGACCCCAGGTTCTGTGCCTGCCAAGTCTCAAATTCCCTCAGCATTCAAGGACCTACTGGGGAGAGCAGCAGCAGGTATTAAGGGGTTAGACCTGTGCAGAGATGGCCTGCCAGCTCCTTCATACTGGAAGTCCTTTTCCGTGCTAACAGCAACCAGGAGCCCCGAAAACTCATTTACCCTGAGAACCGGGACAGAAGTAGGAACGTAGATTAAGATGATCCCCACAAACCTCAAAGGGAAATGCAGTAGTTGAACCAAAAGGGTCACTTTGGAGACAATCAGCTGCTCTCCAGATGCTGGCAACAGAGAAGTCTTTTTGCCGTTGCCATGGTTTCGGAGCAGTATAAAAGCCGCTACCTAGAAGCAGACAGGTTAAGATTCCTTATACCCGATGTAGCTTCTCAGAGCCAAGCAATTTCCTTGGCTGTTTTGCCTTACCCACTATCTTTCAGAGCATCTCGGTGCCAGTTCCCCTATCCTTGGATGTGAATGTACTGGCAGGGGACGATATCAGGGCTGAGTGTTCGGGAAGCACTAGATGGTCAGCACCCGGAATTCTCTTACAGGAGGTCTCGAAATACGGAGTGTGCGTTGCTCCGGGGTGGGCTTGGGAGCCCTGGAGCTAGTACCAGCTGGGGGAAAGAAGCGCGGCTCCTTTAAAGCAGGAGGCGAGGAACCCCCGCCAGGAGGCGTGTCTGTCTTCAGCGCCACCGCTGCGGCTCCGCGGTCGCGGTCTCCTCCGCCGCCGTCACTCGCGCTCGCGCTGGCGGCTGCGTGGCCGAGGCTCGGAGCCGGGGACTTCCCGCTGGACCTCCTCCCGCCGTGGCTCCGAGGGGACTGCTCCAGTCCCTCCCCGCCCTCTTCACCCCAGCTCCAGGTAAGCACTCGCTGGCAGTGGACCCTAACCCGGAGTTCATTTCCAAGGTGTTGGCTCTGGGTATGGAGGAGCCGAGGACCGCGGAGGAGCGCTGGCAGCCGCGAGGAAAGGAAGAAGCCAAAGGCAGCTCGGCGGAGTCGGTGCGCTCCAGGCACCTGCTGGATGCAGTCGCTTGGAGGGCTTTGTCCCACTCGCTGCAGCCAGTCTCCGGCAAGGATGCAAGTGGCTGATTTGACTGCAGGCGCGCTTGTATTCTCCACATAAAATATTTTAATAAGTGTATGTGTCAGGAAGTGGCCTCAACTACTGGGACTCATGCTCAAGGCGAAGAGAAGCACAGGCAAGAAGCTGTGTATCTTTGTGTCACAGCAACTCTCATCCTTCTTTCGTTCACCAATCCTTGGATCGCCCTGATCCATATCTCTGGACTGAGAAAGTAGAGATTATTTTAACTGAGGACAGTATTAAAAGCTTCTGGAAAAAAAAAAAAAGGAAAGAAAGAAAAAGAAAAAAAATAACCGAAACTCTCAGGGCATCCCGTAGGGGTTAGGACTGACTGCATCACCAAGGCGGATCATAAATGTTCAGAACTTTTAACCAACCACATTCCCTCGTATTTTTATCTTCAGGTGCATAGGAAGGAGTTGGGGGAGAGAGAAAGAGAGAGAGAGAGAGAGAGAGAGAGAGAGAGAGAGAGAGAGAGAGAGAGAGAGAGAGAGAGAGAATATCAAATAGGACCGGAGCTACTAAGATAAAGATTTGGATTTAGAGGTTGGAGAGTATTAGAAACTACCTTCTGATAAGGAAAGGAACAGATTACCTTATCATTTCTCCATCTTCACACTGTAAGTATTCCGTCATCAAAATTACCTATGGATTGATTCTTTTCATCTCATGAGATATGAGTACTTCATTTGAATAAGTCTGCAGTTTAGTTGCTAGAAGATGTGCAATTATATTTCAATTTGTACTTGTTTTAGTTCCTTGCTTTATAACTTTGTAGAACACATTCCGGCAGCAATCAAGTCAACTAATCAAATCCCAGTGACCTTAGAAACTTACATGTTAAAGAAATTGAAGTATACAGGGGAAGGTAAGACAGAAATAAGGAAAGGCTGAACACCTATGTCTTTTCTTTAAAATTTGAATCCACTGAAGATTGTACATGCTGAATTTTAAAAAAAGATCTTGACAGACATAAATTGATTTGCTTCATTTCTTAATCAAGATACATTTTTAGCATCTAAATGTTAATTAAAAGTATAAGTATCATTAGCTACCAACATAGCAGAATGCTAGCAGAACAATTGATAATGTGTTTAGAATCCCAAAGAATAGCATAGTGCTCATAGTTAGGGTAGACTGCTGGTGTGCAACAGTGTGGTTTCAACTGATCTCTGTCTCAGACTTTATTCTGTGGCCCCTTTAATGTCATGATTGAGCAAGCTGTTTATTTTAGCTAAACCTCAACACAATAGGCCACTTGCATGGAAAAATGCCTTGGGTGTTACTAGAAGATGAGGTTTCTCAAATGTCCCATAACAACCGGACGGCAATGTGAGGTCCAGTAGAAGCCTGTCACTTGTGTGAGAAAATTTAAAAGCACTACACATATGACATGGAAGAGCCTTTGAGATAGCTTTGAAATTCAGATTGTTCTAGAATATACATTTACTGTTTCTAGCCAAAGGTATAGGAATTGTCTTTTAAAGGTTCTGCTATAAGGATTATTACACATTTGCTCATGCCCCAGCAGGTGGCAGCTAACTAGAATATGATTCATTTTCACCAGGAGACTAGGAAACTAAAATTGCTTCTCAAGTAATAGTGCCCAAGAATAAGAGGTCATTAGTGTCAGGTAATACAAAACACAGTGAAAGATGAAGCTAGTGCCTTTTGTCATTCTCTTGTGGTTGTTGTAGGAACAAGCTTTGCATGACGTGATATACATTTTCTCCCTTTATTATTCACCATAGGCTTGGTAGTTTTTCGTAACAGCCTTCTTTGGTATTTTAAGGCTTTCTTCTACACACAGCTTCTCTCTGTGTGAGCATATATATGTGTGCTGGCAGTTCTTCATCTCTGCTTTGACCTTGGAACCCTCACAGCTTTAGCTCCTAGCAATAAAGATTGCCATGTGGTTGAAATAACTGCACAGCAAATGAATCTATAGGACAAAGCACACAATTTTCACTACTTTTAAATATAAATGTTCACTGGAAACCTAAATAAAGTATTTCTTTTTCATTTTCTATTAAGAAATAAGCAAATATAGAACCAGCACAATTTTAAGATAATTAAATGTGACCAGTAAAATACTTAATAACCATTAACACTCAGAACTTTAATTATAGTGTCAGTATTAGGGAGTTCTTGCAATAACTTCAAAATATTGATATAACAAACAAGGCATCCTCTACATCACCTCATCATTTTATTGTGTTTGAAAGGTAAATTACTGATTTGTTGCTCTTGGTCTGAAGAGTGAAGCTTAATAAGGGAAGGATGGAATTAATCTGCTTTCCCTCCTAACAGATGGAAATCTGGAGGTGGGCAATTAAACGTGATAACTAATTGTACATTTCAGAAATGTCTTACGACACTGAATATTGACAGCATGTTTCAGCATTCAAAATTTTTCCATGCTAATTTTTTGTATGAGGAAATAAGTTCTTTAGTCCTCTTGAGGGGCCTCGCAGTGAGTGTTAGTGGCTTTTGTAGTAGTATGCACTGGAAAGCAATCACTGTGTGTATATCTCAGGTATGTTAAACAACCCATTACTCACATTGAAAAATACACTCAACACAGTTCACAAAATTGTTTTCTTGACTATGTGTTCTTCAATGATTCAAACTACTCGTCTCTGTAATAGAAATGTGCATACTGTCATTTCATATGGCATATATTATCCATTCATTTTACCATTTTCAATATCAGACTAAATCCATGTCCAAAGCGCTGTCCGAGGTTCTGAAAAAGGGTTGTCCCTGGTATTGAAGAAGTCCAGTTGGACAGGTGGAATTGCTGTTATGTTAAAGCTTTTCAACTTAGTTGTTGGATGTAAATGAAACAATTGAAGATGTGTGCAAAGCTGGTTCTTTGGAGACCACTTAGTAGTAAAGAAAATTTGTTAGATCTTACTTTTTTTTCCCACAGTTTATTTTGTGTGAATTTTTATGAACCCAAAGCTTTTCTTTCGCTTTCCCATTAGACATCCAACAATGATGCCACATAAGCAGTTGAGAATGCTAGGTGTAAGTAGAAAGATGACAAACGCTATGAAAAATACTGTTATGCTAAAGGAATTTGTGAACAAGAAATTGTGGTACAGTGTGTTTACTCTGGTTCCACGAAACGCCAGCTACATTGCAAAAATTGCAGAAATTTGATTAGTCACAACAGAACATGCTATTTTCAGGTAGTTGATATCAATTATATTGGGAAATGAAAACAACCAAGAATATGTGTTTTTCCCTGGCTCTCATTATTTTCTCTACAAGGGTGAAGAAGAAGAAAAATGAACAAATAGAATGGAATAAATGAGACAGCAATACAAGACAGGACATGTTGGTCTTTAACATATTTTATAAGTGATGTTTCAAACATGGACTGAAGGAGTCGCTAGATACCCTTGGTTTCAGCACTAGATGTTCCTTTTAAAGTGCTCAAATAGTGGAATTGTTTGACGGGATTGCCTGCTAGATTGCCGAACTAGCTATTCATGATACTTATTTTTATCACTGCAGTTATGCCTCCATCTTAAAAAAAAACCAATGTCTCTTAGTACATTTGAAAATGTAGAGTTTTTAAATCAGCATTTTATAATAATATCTTAAGAAAATATAGATAGTAAAAAATCACTATGATGTAATGACTATATTGTGGTATCTTCTTGCTAGTTAGAAACAGCATAACTATAGTAATTTAAGAACTTAAACAGTACTCATACCACTCCATTAAAACTAGGTAGCCTTCAATATGATGCAATATATAACTTTTATAAGGTCTAACTTATGCCCTATTTGTTGATAATGAAAAGAGATTAGTAGTAAAACATGAGTTCAACAATTTGCCCTTTGCACTTCTTAATAAGGTGCCAGTGTCCTCGATGGTGTCATTACTGCTTTTCTTATTATCTCTTCCTACTAATGTAAATGGCAGTAGTGGATCTGGGGATAACCATATTCCTTGTGAAGTATATTGCCCATTTCAACAAAATTTTTATGTTAACAGTGTACATTTCTATACTTTTAACTTGAATAAATTTCTACTTGTGAAAGTCCAGAGAAAAGATGAGTTTAAATATTGCCATCAGAAAAATAGCTGGTGACAAGATTTTTTAGACAAAACTATGATCCTGTATTACATTTTAAAAGGAAAAATAATTTTCAAAAAAGATAAAATGTGGACACAAAACCTCTGGAATCTGTTGCTGCAGCTTTGTCTTTGTGTAGGATTATTTCAGGTGTGATAAATGAGTTGGAAAAATGATTCCTTCATTTCCCCCGAAAATCCACCTGAAGAAATATCTCTTTACTAATCAAAGAATATGTCACTCCTGTTTTTAAAGAGTACATTCAGCTCTCCAATTGCATCGCACTGTGTATTTATTCTTTTCTACTCAGATTTAAAAGCTGTAAGACTCCCTCAGCTTACCATAAATTAGA